TGATTACACTAGTACTGTCAGTAACACTGTTAGTCGACAAGTACACGCTTGTAACGAGGCTATTGGAGTCTTGCACACCATACTTTACCAACTGTTTTTCTCGCAATTCTTATAATTTTGTTCGAATACTAAAAGCCTCAACTAGTGTTTTCTGCTTTCCACGGCTTTTATTTAGTTTATGCCTTCACGTTCTTCAGATCTATTGAAAAATGAATGTTTTTGATTCTCGATGCTTCTTTTATTCAACCTTCTATTAGAAAAAAAGAATTATATTTTCGGTCCTACCCTTTTCTATGATGTTTGCTCTTCCTTTTTTTCTCTTTGGTATGTAAAAAGGGGAGAAGGATCAAGAGTGAATACTAAAGACACAATCGTAGCAATCACACAGGCACGAGCTCTTCTAATATGACTGCATCCATAAGGACAGCAACATGAAAATTATTGTTCTGATTTAGGCGAACAGCTAAGCAGGTTAACCTACAAGTAACATTGATCGTCACATTCTAAAAAAACAGGTTTGTTATTGCACGTTAAAACTTTTGAATTTAGATATGGAACTTAATAGATTTCTTAACATAACGAGGTGTGATGTGGATGTCGTCTTTTCTTGACACTCACACCCACGGCTACCAAGAAATGCCATATCCATGGATTTGTCCTTCATTATGATATTCTTCTATTTATAATTTTGTGGTTAGTTTGCTTTTCGATGAATGATAATGTTTTCTTCGTTGTGCTGGCTGATCGTGTTGTCGTAGCTTCATAGAGATAATTATTTTATTGCTTGATTACATATAAGTCGATTTCTATGAAACAGTTTATGATACAAATGATTTTGAAATAGAGTTGATTTCACAAATAACCCGCTTTCGTCGTTTCATTCAAATATGGAGATCAGTAGTACTCAGTTTATCATTAAAAACGGCAAATCCTTTTTTAAATCTTTCTAACACCAATAAAAGTATATTTACTTTCGTATCAACGAGAATCAATACCATTTCATATATATGTATAGAAGCTTTTATGTTGTTCGAAGTTACTTCTAACGACAATATGATCGCCTTCAAACTATTCATCGTTTTATCACTCTTAAGTAAGAAAGACTCTATGACGGCTTTCTTCTTTGCTTCTACACGATTGCTGTGGCTTAATATTTAGATCTAGGTAGAGCTCAAAACTGGTGTGGTCTCTTCTCTGCTAGCCAATCAACATGTAATCCATCAGTGTGTTGTTGTATTCAACAATGGTTTCGTATCTCAGTACCTTACCCATTTACAGAAACACGTCTGCAATTGCAGTTTGAGTAAGTTAGTTCCCAACTTTGTATCAGCCATCAGCTTTGGACTATGTCGCTTGCTCTGAAATTTAGAGGTGTCTGTCCACCGAATGCCAACTTGAATATTGATGTCCGTGTTCCGCGACTGACCGGTTTCACTGCTACAATTCCCATCTTTACACAACAAATACAGTTGACACTCAGTCAAGACAGTTGTAGAATAACATCAAGTGGACCGAATTCAGTCTGCAACGAACAATTAATTCGAATAATTTAATGATAACTTCATTTTTTTCAAAGAAACTGCTTAAGATCGAAATAAAATCGTTCACTTATTTCTTCTGACAAAGAACTGATGTTAAGAGTAACAATAATTTGAGGAGGCTTGTCTACCTATGTAGCCGTGGTAGCTTAGTCCGGGAGAGCGTTAGACTGAATTTATTTGGATTTGGATCGAAGATGCCGGAAGGGAGGGTGGGTGTGGGTGTGGATGTGATTGTTTTTCTATATACCTATATAGATACATCTTGTCCCTGTGTAAAATTATACAACACTCATGAGAATGTTTATTTATTCGTATATTTATTTATGTATTAACTAAATGATTATCCATTTAAATATTTATTTATTTGCTGTTAATTAACAAATGAATTAGTCTATTAATTTATTCGTCTGTAAAATTAACCATGTATTTATTTATTTGTTTACAAAAAATTTTCTATATATTTCTACCTATACAAAAGCATGTATATTTATTCATCTCATAGATTTCAAAGCAATCAAAAAATGCACATGTCTCTTAAAGACATGTTATTTCACATTATCAACCTACAAAATTTCACTCTTCTTGATATATCACAATTATTTATTTATTTATTTTTCCCTTCAATATATACTTCTACTATAGTAGTACCCATGTTTATTTTATATGGCCTATCTTTTCAATACGTACTTATACATATATATATATATGTATATTTTTTTTGTTTCTTTCCATTATGCTCAACATATAACAGATAGCGACAATCACATTATGAATCACCATCATTGTCTCTGAAAAGAAAGAAAAAATCTTTATGAAACGTATACAATGCGATCATTACTCTTACATGAATTACAAACAATATTCTATCAATTTTCTAACTTTTTCGATTAATTTAACATTATCATTATAATTTTGGTTTTCATTTCGTTCATTGGCTTTCCATTTATCTTTAAATGACATAATATACCAATGAATTTTTCTGTTCAAAACATTTACATCTACATTATTGCCTTTATTATTATTTATTATTATATTCATTTCCTCATATCTGTTTTTATTTCCAAACAACATATAAATCATTTTCAACTCACAAAATCATCTACAATCAGCTGTAAAGACACTTACTCAAGTGTGACTATTTTTACCTTACTTCAATACTGCTATATATACAACTTAGGGGCTATCCATAAAGGACGTCCAGGTAAAAATCGCATTTTTTGACCCCCCTGTCCAGGTTTGTCCAGTTTTGCCCACCTCCTCCCCTCCCCCTTCTGAACGTCCAGTACAAACAAAAAAAATTTTCTCATCTTTCCAAATGACGCCCAACGGGGGGGGGGGGGTAGCTTTCGAGACTTCCCATAAAATAGTCATCGGAACCAAACGGGGGGCGGGGAGGGGAGTAGCTTTGCGAAGGTTCCCCTAGCCCCCATTGTTAGGATCCTTGCACCTTTTATTAAATATAAGTAAAATATAGATAGGCAAGTACCTAAGCGTATCACCTATTCCCTTTACTTTTACAACAATCACACACAATAACAATAACAACCATGACTGTTAGTAAACAAAACATATATATATATCTTAGAGAAAGAGGAACGAGAACAAAGTGAAGGATCGTCCATCTATATCATAGATGGCGATCCTGACACTATCGTGAAAATGCACAATAAGTGAAATGTGACAATATTAGAAAGTTAATGAAAAGACAAAGACAACATATTTAGAGACTTTTGTCCAAATGAAATCTTCAAAAATCAATATACTTCGCATGAGCGATATTCATTTAGAAATGAAAATTGAATTAACTTTACTCATCAAATGAAAACATGATATATTATCAAAATTAATCAATTTCCCACATTCTGTTGATATGGAATTTGCATCTGTTTATTCTCTTGAAAAATATCAACAAAATTCAGAGTTTGCTTTTTCGTTCTTATTTCATTTATCGGAAAGTAAAAGCTGGTTTTCCTCACTGCTTCGAATCTAAGGAGTCCAAAAATAAAATTCTTCCTATGCACATCCATTGCAGATTATTTAGAGAAGTCAATTGTAGTTGAAATGGAACCAATCATATTCTTATCGAATCAAGTTAAGAAACTCAATAAGTTAATGAAGTATTTCTGAGAATGACACGAACGTGTGGGTGCGGGTGTTGAGAAATACCAATCTTCACTTCCACACGCATATCTCACACCCTCAAATGCTCTGTACTGTGTTGTCTTGACGCGCTCTTTCAAACAAAAATAAATAAAGAAATACACTAAGTATCGACAGAGAAATTTGCGAAAACGTGCTCGAGAAGCTATAAACAGAGAAAAAACGAGAAAGACTTTTTTTTCAGAACAGATTATTTTTCCAATAGGAGTCGGGAGAATTCTTCAAAAGTTTTTGAAAAAAAGAGGTATTGAGTAAAAATTTTTCTCATTTATGAAAGATCTGAATACGAGCTATCTTCTCCTGTATTTATCTCAATTTCAATGATTCTGACGAAAAGAGACTTTTTTGGGTGGGGGAAGGGGCCTTAATATAGATATTCATTTGGTTTAGCAATGAATCCAGTGCAAAATAATCTGAAATCAATGGAATATCATGTGTTATTAATTTTAAGACAGCTGTTGAAAAGTTATTTACTCTTGCTTTCATACAGAGCAAAAAGAATTTCTATCGAAGAGCATATAGTGCGGCTGGTACTGTATCTGTATGACGGAGTACCCCGCCTATTGATGTTAATGCTATTTTTGCAGATATCGAATTCTAGCTTTCTGATTGAGACTATCTCTCACAGTGAACTACCTCAATTATAAGACAAACGTGACGCATGGTAGTTCATTAAAAAAACCATGTGAACTTGTGTATTCTCATTCCTTGTTCATTCTTTTAACTCAAATAAATAGTTTTCACTTGGTCTTAAACTAAAGTGAATTCATAATGAATTACTCATTAGTGACATTACAAATTAGAATTATCACAAATTCTCGTGCAATAGTCATGCTTTTCGTTCCTATTCATATGTTATTAATTATCTTTTGAATTGAGTTCATTTGTTAAAAATAGTCAAATATATTTAAGGGTGGGATGTGGGTGTAGGAGTGGGTGGCTGGCTATGTGTGTAACAAAAGAGCGACATCAGTACCCACACCCACAAGATTATTTTTCATCAGTCACAAAGTCTAATCGATCTTTTCTATATGAAAATCAATATCAAAAGTAATAGTTAAAAGTAATGAAATCAAATAATGACTTTTCTAGTGAAGTTATTTTGATTCAATATAAATGTTTAGTCTGTAAAAGATTTTCTTCCAATGCTGTCTATGCGAAAAAACAATTCGCATTAAAAACAAACACGTTATCTACTTTTTGTGTAGTTCTTATCTGAGATATGTATATAAACGACAAAAAAGATATCATTACATTCAGTTTCATCGCTGTTTTATTTTTGAAACTTATTACACCATCATGCTGTATGCCATGATTTTAATTGTATTTCTATCGACATCATCTATTTCAGTGTCATCATTACAATGTTATTCATGTAAACACTTTTTCGTAGTTAATTATCTTGTGACAAGTGATACAGTTCCTTCATTTTCTGACTGTCCATTGATTAATGCTACACGATGTGCAATTATTGTTACTTGGGATCTAAATAACAATGATACTGTTCTCCTAATAAATAATGAAAATGTTCTCTCGACAAAAGATACTTTGGAAGATTCCATTGCAGTTATGGCTTACATGGAACGTGTACCCGATCAAGAGATTCCAATAGTAGCACATTACCTTCAATTTGTATGTATGTCATCAGAGAAATGTAATAGTGAACTAAGTTTGAAAAAAATTCTGCATTCACTCATTATCAAAGATAGATTTGTTCAAGAATTAACTTCATTAATTCAGACTGTTTCTCCATTTGTTCCACAGTCTGCAGCGTGCCGTGAGTTAAATAATTTCACAATTGAATGTCCTCCAACAGATCTCGATGCTTGCGAACGATGTCAAATACTTGTTGATAAATGGCCTTCAGCCAGTGTAGAATTGTGTGCAACTTGTCCTCGTACTACTCCCAATGGAAATTTAATAGCACGTTCTACCATATTTGTCCTAAACAATCGAACACAACTTGATGATCATGTTCAACTTGATTGTCAACTCAAAGGATGTAACTCAGTCGATAATATCAATCGAATTTATAAAACTAGCAAAATTACATTCGACTTTGGCAAGTTTTTTAATCTCTCATCGAACAAGATTGTCTAACAACTGAAAAAAGATTCAAATCTTGTAAGGTTTTGAAAAAACTATTCAAAATTAGTAATGTGCATAGCGACGTGTTGTTTCAAGCCCAAACATAGTGCGAATATTTGACCTCATTGGGTGGGGTGTGGGTGTGGGTGTGGGCGTAGGCGTGGGTGTGGGTGTGGGGTGTGGGTATGGGCGGGGTGTGGATGTAGCGCGTTGGTATGGATATGTGGGTGTAGGTATGCGTTAAAAGAGGGGTGTGGGTGTGGGTGCGGGTCATCTTTTAACGCATACCTACACCCACATATCCATACCTACGCGCTACATCCACACCCACACTCACACCCACACCCACACCCACACCCATACCCACACCCACACCCACATCCACACCCACACCCACACCCCACACCCACACCCAAAGCTAGCCGAAGGATTACATATTATTCGAATGCGTGAAATTAATCCTCCTCATGTTTTACTTGAACCACCTATTGATTTTGAGACAACGCAAAATATTGAATTTATTCTAGATTCTGTTTATGAAGTTAATAATGAAAATGATAATGTACCAAAATTATTCATTATTTGACCAGATCCATTATATGGATGAAACCCAACTGATTCTATCAAAAATAAGTTTCTTCTATATTTCGTTTGTGAATGTTCAATTGATAATATTCATTTA